ATAGAGAAGTGTTGAATCTAGATTTTTCCTCGGATTACACCCCAGAAATAGAATGCACACAAAAGGGAGGAAATAAGGGTCTCCTTTGAGAAAAAGGCAAATGAATCCCAGTGAGTTGACAAATCTTTCTTAATGGAGGAAAGAAAATACAAGAATCTTCCCATTTTTGCTATACAATGCTTCCTATTTATATGAGTCAAACACCCCCCCCCTCCCCCCCCCCCCCCTTGACAAGACACGTATTATTTAAAATAAAAAAATCCTGCCAAGAGGTCCTAAGTGGGAACATATACAATTTCAATCAAACGCTCGCTTGTAACGGCAATACTTGAGAAACAGAGTCTTCGTGTAGCATTGGGTCTCCTTCTGCCATCATTTGGAGTATGATTTTGGATGCTTGAGCCATCCAAACCAAGTTTTGAAATGTCTGGTCAAGAGCCTTGGTCTTGACCATGTGGTATCAGATGTCCGCCCCCAGACCAACAAATTCTTGCAATCTATTAGCTGGTCAGGAAAGTGTAGCCTACGTCAATCATGCATACTTTGGTCGAAGTCAATCGGCTCTGTTGGTTCGCTCGACACAAGATCAGCCGCCCTTAGGTGCCAACAACCCACCACACTTCCTTGGCTCCTTAACTAATGGCTATCGTCATTTAGTGCTTGTTTACAGGAACTACTAAGCCGCCTAAATACATCATTTGGTCGCCCACCTTGATTTAATCAAGGTCGTTGTTTTATGATTGTCTGAGAAGCTCACTTTTTCTCATGTAGATATTTAATTTTCTGATTCTCTCGAATCTTAGAAATTTATGCTGCAATAAATGTAAGAGAATTAATAGATTAATAGTTATTTCTAGATCAATAATAAATGTTTAAAGCTTTAAATACTCACATGAGTTTTGAGCCTCACACTCCTATAAATAGTTCAATAAGACTTCCCCTGAATTTCATTAAGGTCATAGTTCTTTCGCCTAATTCTACTCTTATTGTCAGAAATTTTGGCTCGTGGAGAAGCCTATTGCGGCCCAAGCAAATGTCCCAACCAAAGTCCTCCTCTATGGCTTGTTTGGTAAGCATGTGTGAGGTAGTAAGTCAAAACGCAAATGTGATGCCCAGTTGACGGATCAGTAGGGATCCTGTCATGCGGTCTATGAGGGCATCACTTGTGCGCCTAAAAATGCTTACCCAACTGTTGATCGTTTGAGGTCTCTGCATGCAATTCTAAGAGACGCCCCCGTGTTTCAAAGACGTTGACCGTCGTAGCAGGAGGGAATGTGCAATCCCTCAATTGGATCATGTTGCTCTCATTCTTGGGATAGAAGGTTCATTGGGCGAGCTGACTTTTGACTGAGCACAACAACTGGTTGTTCAAGCAGCTCAAGGCGATGACTCGTTCGCTCTTTTTTCATGTGCTTGATCACTTGCGAGCAATGGGTAAGGACAATATTGTTTTTTGGTGATTTTTTATTATTTGTTGAAGGTCACTCATTTTATTCTCACATGTTATAGCCCATACGACCTGCCATCCTTGAATTTGAATGAGTTTTAAGGTATGCTCCTGAGTGATGAAGAACTAGTAAGTGGAGATGTCAGATACTTTGAGTGAGGAGCTAGGATGATTGCACTGTCATCGGGGGTTGCACCCAAATGGGAGATGGGCAAAATGATCAACTCTGGACAGACCGTGAGGCGATAGGTTGTTCGTGCGGCAACCCCCTACTAGTGGGTATGTCGCGGCTCTTACATGATTAGCCGATTGTATGACAAGATTGGCAGGATTGGAGCGTGAAACTGAGTTGTGGAGAAATCAGAGGCCTTCTTACAGTGGGAGCTCACAAGCTTGTGGGAGTAGTGCTTGGTTTTTCAGGCCCCAGCCAACTTGGGTGGCCTAGGACAATTTAGGTATTGGGGAGAGTTTGTATTGAGAAGGCTCCTCAGACTTGGTTATCTCGCAGTTGAGGTCGTGTCGAATCCTTGTATAATTCTTTTCTTTCACCCAATTGATGTACTAAACTTTTTTTAAAATAATTTTTTTAATAAATAAATTTGACACTTAAGCTTCTGTAATTTTGATTTATGACGTGACACCGATTATATCCCTCAAATATAAGTTACATGTATGTACATACATTTCCCTTTTTACCCTTGTAAATTTTTTGGGCAGTTACCACTTCTTTAACCCCTATAAAAACTGATGTTTTAACTGTGAGGGTTTTACTCCTTTACCATTTCTTTCTGATATTTCTCTCAATTCCTTTTAGTCAATCGTGGCTTCCTCCGTTCAAGCTTCTTCCGCTCACCAAACTGATCAGGTTTCCTTCAGTCGTGCCCCCCGGCCCGATACAACCCCATGGAGTTTGTGAAGAAAAATTTTCCTGGCTCGTCCAAGATGGATGTTGTGCTAGCGAAGTAGTATTACATATCCAGTGTGTACACTCCATTCATTCATCTATGGGTGGGTCGCTAAGAAAGACGAGTGGCCCAACTCCTTTTATGCAAGAATGTTGGCTTTCTACAACGATCAATTCCGGTTTGGCTTCAAGTTGCAATTATGCGTAGAGATGGTATCGATTTTTAATTTCTTTGGAATAGTTACAACTCAATTGATGCCCATTCAGTCACCATCATCATGACAATGATCTTTTATATGTGGAGAGTGAAGATCCTCTGGTTGATCAAGTTGTTCAACATTCTATTTTCCTTGCACGTCGACACCGACGAGTTTGTGCAGTTTGTGTTGCGATAGAAAGAGGTATGTTTTCATGGTTTGGAGAATAAAGTGAAGGATTAAAAGTGTAAGTTTTGCGTCGATTCTATAGAAGGTGACTGATTGATCGAGACGAGCCCAGCTTATAAGCCAAAAGTCGTGTGCAAAACATCATCGTCGGGAAATTGTCAGCTCTAAACACCTTCGGATTCATGACTAAGGGGGAATTGTCAGCTCTGAATGCCTTCGAATTCATGATCGAGGGGGAGTGGGTAATTGTGGATGCCCTTCAAGAGGAAGCGAACGTGGCCTTGGCTTGAGAAGACCAAGAAGAATTATGCAGCTTGGCCCTGTTAGGTATAGGTAGCTACTTGAATTATATTTCTCCTTCTAGCGTAGTTATTCAAAGAGATGGGACAGATGAATTAATCTTTGATTTAGAGGAAAGGGTTTGTGAAAGATTAGTGAATAACGTTGTCTCTTACACGTTTCTTGCGTGGAAGCTGAATGAGAGGAGGGGATTGGTGATAATGGGTCCAAGGATGCAGGGTGGCCGATGAAGTCGAGTCAAGCCACCTGTGCGAGGATACTTCACTCAAGATCGTTGTGTGGATGTAGAGCAGCTCGGTCTGCACATCTCTCGCCACTCTTACTCTAGGTCATCCCCAATAAGGTAGCGCCCAACTAAGCGAAGATAATGTTGTGAAGATGTGATCCCTGGGCGAAAACTTTGCGTTGAGCCGCCCGATTGAGGGGGTCATCTCAGAAGCGTAAGAGTTGGCTCGCCCAGAGACTCAGCGCAAGCGAAAGGTAGCATTAGTGGGAGCGATGTCCAACTTAAAGCGAAGTCAATTGGTTGGTTGTAGGAGACCTCCCATTCAATGGGCTCCGCTCAAAAAAGGTAGAATGATGTGGCAGAGTATAGAAGGTAGCTATGCTCCAATGGACTTGGCCAAGGACTAAAACTCTTCAGTTACGCGTGCTACCACATATGCCTTCAATGTGGAGGAAAAGCCCTTTGCTCCCCTTTGATGGATGCCTTGTTTGAGGGGATGGAGGTGGGTTACCTTCAAACAGCTGGTTGGCAGGCTTCCCATACTTCGATTACAATCATTTGTAGCCTTTTGAGGGGCCTAAGAAAAGACAAGGTGAAGAAAGAGAGGTCAAAGCGGTGTGTTGCGACTCTGGAGGGTGAGATAGCAGCAGGTGCTTCAGCGCGAGAGGTTGCATTGAAAGAAGAGGATTTGTTGGAGAGGCTGGAGATGGAGCTTCTCACTTGGAAGTGTTATTGCGAGGGTCTGGTGGAGGATAACAAATGGTTGGTTAATTGAATGACTATCATAAGAATGCCTGAAGAGTTCATCCAAAAGCAATCGTCGAACGCTGTATATATTGCCACTCTCCATACCAAGTTACGTGAAGCGATTCAGTATTTTATGGACCACCTGATGAAGTGTCAAGTAATTTCCTCGGTGTGGTCCTCCATGTCTCAATTTGAGTAGATTCACCGAGTTTGAAACTGAGGGTGAGGAAGAAAGAAGCCTTGGAGCTTCATTGAATGTATGATGTGGGGTTTTATATGTAAACTATTTTTTGTTAGAATATGAAATGGAAAGATCTTTTGATTATTTCAAATGCGTCAAGTGTATGCCTAGTTTTTGTTATTAACATGTTTTTTTTTTTCCAAATAAAAAAATCCTTGTGCTAGATCGTGCAACGTGAATTGAATTCAATTTCAATTGCTTGGCATGTTGTGGTTGAATGGTTGTGTTTAATTCATTTTGTGTTTGACTCGAGCCTTATACTGCCTGTACTCCTTTACGATCAAATTGTCGCCATGAACTGGTCATGCCTTACCCCGTACTTCTTAAGAGGATCTTCTACTACCCATACTCCTTTACTCTCGATAAGTTGTCATTGGACGGACAATGCCTAACACTAGACTTATTAAACGAATCTGATTGATTTATTCACGGAGGTAAGCATCTAAACTCGCCACTGAGATGATTCATGTGTTTCTCACTGTGGATCTTTTTGCGAGCGAGGAGAAAATCTAAGCGTCGGGGCTTGACCTATGTTCCAGATAGGAGTAGAAGGGTTTTACGCCGCTCAAGTCTTGTGAGACAGATGGATATGAAACAGATGTTTGGTTGCCCAGACACCTTCGGGGGCTCATGTAGCTTTTGCACTTCATCTGTGAGGGAAGCTTATTTCCTTCAAGAGACTGACTCCCCTTCTCTAGTTTCTTGAGTTAGTTTGCACTGGCTAGGTTTGTAATAGGGACGATCCATACCTTCAGGTGAAAGCTATCTTCCACCTCTTGGGGGCTTTTGACGCTTCTTTGGGATCTGGTTAGCAATGCGGTGAGTTCCTCCCTTGGCACCTGAATGAAGCGTTTATTTTGTGATAAAAGTAAGAAAACACATCATTGGTATGCGACTACTTTTTTTCATAATGTAATTATAAAAGCCTTTTGGTTTCTAGGAAGGAAAAAATTACCGTTCAATTGTGCCATGAATTACAATGTCTCAGAAAAATCAAATGTACATAAATTTCAAGGATAAAAAATGTTTACTTCATCTCTGTTCCAAGCGCATGGCACTTCCTTGTCGACACAAGTTCACAGTTTGTATGCTCCATGGGTACAGGCATGCTGACGATGAACGATCCGGCCTATGTCTGGTCGAGCTTTCCCAAGGTTTAGCAACGAGCCACTGAATCGACCTTCTTCAGGACCAGGTCTACTTCTTTGACATGTAAATTGTAATACCACGCCATTCTCCTCTTAATCTCTTTCTATTTGAGGTCGACTTGCTATGCTTTTCCAACATGTCTATTGAAAGCACATTCCCGACTTCATTACCACACTTAGATAATAAGTCTGACTTTGTTGCCATCTCGAGTAACGTGTTTGATCTTGAAGTATTCAAATTTCCCTATCTTTGCCTTAGCTTTAATTATATATCTTATTATTGTTTACTCTCTCATTTTGAATTGCCCGTTCACTTGATTGACTACTAAGATCTTATGGTGAGATGTCGCACTCCAATCCCGTATGCGAGATGCAGTACGCATAGTCGACATGGCTGTTCGTCACCTCAAATTCTACTTTGACAAAATGGTAGATATGTTGCCCTGACGGTCTCATTAGCGCGAGCCCTAGGCCCGCACCTTACTGGTTTGATGCCTCGTCGAGTTACAGAGTTCATGATGGTTCTAATGAGGGCATTTCATCTTCATCGTCGCCTGGTCCTAAAAATTGCCAGAAAATTTGCCAACGCTTGCGCCTTTAGTTGTTCGAAGGATATAAGATAAATCAAATTTGTTGAGTTTTACCACCCACTTAACGAGTCAACAGAAATGCCCTGATCTTGTTCTGGTCTTGCTAGCACCGATTTGAGTGGATAGCCAGTGATCACCCACACCTTATGCATCTGAAAATATAGTCGCAGTTTTTGTACTAAAACAATCAAAGCAAACGTTAGCTTTTCCATAATTGGATACCTTAGTTATGCCCCTCTCAGAATGTGGCTAACATAATAGACCGTGAATTACTTCTCCAGCTCTTCTCGCACTAGGACCGAGTTAATCACCTCTGGTCTTACACCGAGATATAATGTGAGCTCGTCATATGGTTTTGGGCTTTGGAATAAGGATGGTGAAGTTAAAGATTCTCAACCATCTGAAGGCTTATTCACAGTCTTTTGTCCATACGAAGCCTTTGGTAATTCATAGGACTTTGAAGAAACTGTGCATTTGTCGTCTTATTTAGTGATGAACCGACTCAATCCTACAATGCAACCTACCAGCCTCTACAGCTACTTGACGTTGTTGGGTGATGGCATTTCTATGAGTACTAGAATCCTCTCTAGATTGGCTTTGAACCCTTCTAGAGTTAGTAAGTAGCCAAGTAATTTTTCAATCTCCGCCCCAAATGTACATTTGAGAGGGTTAAACTTCATACTAAATTTTGCGAGTGTTTCAAAGGTTTTTTTTAGATCATTTATATGTTAATCCGATGATTTATTTTTCACTAAAACATCATCAACAAAAACTTTCATATTTTTTTTCCTTTTTGCTCTAAAAAAAGTACATCCATCATCAGCTGGTAAGTCGCACTAACGTTTTTAAACACGAAGGGCATTGCATTATAACAAAATTATCTTTTGTTATGAAAGCGTATTTTTTTTACATCGTTTGGATACATTTTTATCAGATGATAACCAAAAAAAAAAAAGCATCAAGGAATCTCATATGACTGAGTGTCATATCTTTGAATCCAAGAGATCGTCGATATGTGGGAGGAGGTAATTGTCTTTTGGGCAAGCCACTTCAGGCTGGTGAAGTCGATGCACATTCGTCATTTTCTTATTGTCATGCGAACAATCACCACATTCGCTACCCAATATGGGTACTACACCTCTTCGATGTATCCAACTTCCAGCAGCTTTTGAATTTCTTTCTTGATTGACTCGGCAAGAGAGAAAGCCTCAGATCTCATTTTCTATCTTATTGGTAGCTAAAGGATTGACGTTGAGACAGTGGCAAGCCATGACTATGGAATATCCTGACATTTCTTTTGCTGACCAAGCAAAAACGTCCCGGTACTCCCGAAGGGTCCTGGGGGGGGGGGGGGTAAACGCCGCACTTTGTTGAAATGACTTATTTTTAGCATCGGGGTAAGTAGAGATTTCTTCTATGGTCTCACTGGTTTCTAGGCCACTCCCTTGTTGCGTATCTAACTCCAGAGTTTCTCGGTGTACATTGTTATTGGCTTATAAGTAGCAAGTGTATAACTATTGCAAGTCTCCTCGTACCATGATGATTTCTATGTCGCCAGAAAATTTTACCGACATGTGGTACGTCGAGAGGACTGCTTTGAAGGTGTTCAGTAGAGGCCGACCAATAATAGCATTGTATGTCACAGGCTAGTCAAATACGATGCAGTCAACCATTGCATTGAATTATCTATCGCCCTCTCCCAAAATAATAAGTTGACAGCGCAAGGAATCACAAAGCTTCTGGTTTTTTTCTTCTCCTCCGAGAAGCCATGTAAGGGTTAAGATGTAGTTGACAGACATCCTGCTTCAAGACACATTTTATTGAATAAAAATTTGAACAAGAAGTTTCCTAAGATGCTGGTGTCGAAAAGAATGTTACCTGTTTGGAAATTTCTATCTAGAGCCATAACGATTATCACATCGTTGTAGGGTTTGTCTTTCGGAGGCAGGTCTTCATCGGTAAATGTGATTGGTGGATATTGAGCAACTTGCTGCAGGGATTAGGCATCCACATAAGGCTCGCCGGAGCAAAATCTTTTGACTCTTTCTTGGGAGTCCTCAACACCATCTCCTAGAATGGCGGGGACAACTCCTGTATTGAGCATAACATGAGCCTAGGCAGACCCACTGTGCCCCTCTGTCTTCGGAGCCTTCCTCAGAGGTTGGTCAACTACTTTGGTTGAACCCCTTCAACTCTTTGTATCTAATCAACTCCTAAATTAGGGCCCAAGGGTGTCAACTTAACTATGTCGTATCCGTGATTTCAATGATGAGCACAACATCTCTCCAGATCACGGATGTATCCTCCAACCTTCATGGGAGTCGGTTTTCGATAGTAGTGCTTGTTCTGGATAGCCTCCACAACTTTCTCCATTGAGACTCTTAGCAGAGTCGGTTGAGGGATGTGGTAAGTCAGTTGTAGTGGTATTTCTGGAGAGAGATCCTCCCACCGCCTTCAGTATTGTGCTTTCCCTCGATTTTTTTGGGCCATCCTTTCGGTGGTGTGTGCCTCCTGGCAAGATTGGGAGCGTTCATCTTCGTACCGAGGATGTGGTGATGGTCGTGGCGGGTGGTTGGTTTTCTAGTCACCGCCGTGAGAACTTCTTTTCGATGGATATGGATATGATTGTGATCATTTAGATCTTCTCCATTGAGATATGGTCGTTAGCAAGTTCCAGTAGCTTCGTCAATGCCTTCGATCGTTTTAGCCCTAAGGCGTACCAAAAAAAACCTTCTCTCAGCCCCTGGCGATGGCCATGTGTGCAACATTGGGCTCAAAATCTCATACTTCTAACATTTCCCTCTGGAATCGGGTTATGAACGGGCGCAATAATTCTTCTTGCTTCTATCACAACTGTAAAAGTGCTTGAGAATTTTTTTTAAGGCTAAATATCTCCTTTTGAACTCCATGAATGAAGTGATTGTTCAAAGAAGAGTCGATACTTCACTGTGTAGTTCACCCTTAGTAAGCAGGCTATCAACTCAAAAAGAGGCGACATGATCAGCTAGGCCAGTCTTCCCTCGGTACGATTCTAGAGTTGGGATCTTGAATCATTTAGGCGCTTTAGCTTCATAGATTCATCAAGAGAAAACATTATCATGGGTCATCCATTAGGCGTTCTTGCGCCTCTATCTACCTAGGTCCTGAGGAGCAGATCTGACACTATATGGATGATACGTCCCATCGCTCGCGCTTAGTGTCAGGGAGGGTGCACTTTCTGCATTTGGGACAGATCTTTGATCTGGGGGAACTGTTGGTTGGGTACCGAATCTGCTCCTTGTTGAAGTGTTTCCCTAATCATCTCCCTCATTTGATCCTTAAGTTCTTAGATCTCTTGGGTCACAAAATCTCTGGTACACTCCATGTTGTCAGCGTTCTCACAATGACATTCTTCCTCTTGTATTATTCATCTTCTTGTTTTTTATACTCACCACATTTTTTAGGATGTTAAACTCATATTTGTCTTCAAATCGCACCCCTATAATACAACACACACAAAAGAGAGGAAAATAAGGGTCCCCATGGTGAAAAAGGCACAAAGGGAATCTCAATGAGTTGATAGAGACTTCTTAATGAAGGAAAAAAAATAAGAGAATCTTCCCCTTTTAGCTATACAAAGTTTCCTATTTATAGGAGTTGACCCCCTTAATAAGACTCGTCATATTATTTAAAATAAAAAATCACGACAAGACATCCTGGGTGGGACCATATACAATTTCAACTCAAGCGCTCGCTTGTAACAGAGCAATATTTGAGAAATAGTGCCTTCATGAAGTGTTGGGTCCTTTTCTACCATCGTCTCGACTGTGATTTTGGACTTTTGAGCCACCTACCCCCAGCTTGGAGTTGCACGGCCATGAGCCTTGGTCCTAACCATGTGGTATCAGACGCCGCCCAACTGGTCGGCCGATTCTTGCGATCTATCGACGGGCTGGTAAGTGCGGCCTACGTCAATCATTGATCCATGCTTGATTATAATCGCTCGGCCCTAAATCAGTAGCCATCAAGTGTTAGTGACCTACCACGCTTCCTTGGCTCCTTAATGCTTAGTTATAATCCGGTGCCTGCTTGCGAGGACCGGGTCGCCTAAATATGACATTAGGTCGCCCGCCTTTGTTTGATCAGGGTCGTTGGTTTCATGATTGCCCGAGAAGCTCACTTTTTCTCATGTACAAGAAGTAACAAATGAAATTGTCAAATATGCTTGTAAGCAACACATTCTTGTCATACCTAAATCAAATTTTGCTTAGATGAAGAAAGAGATTCATCTTTAAGTGGATACTAAATATTACTGATGAGCAGTGTAGAACATATTTCTAGAGTATAACGTGAGAAGGAAATTGTACAGTATGGCAGGTCAACAAATATATAGACAACCATGCACCAGCTAAAACCATAAATTTGGCATATAGTAGCCAGTAAACAATTAAACTCATACTAGTCAAAAATAATATTTTAATTCAGCATTTCACCTGAAGTATCCAGCGAGCACAGCTTAAAAAACGAGTAACTCCCAGAGCAAAAACATAGTGAGCTGTCAATGACTCGACAATCTGCAAAAGAAAATCAGTGCAACAGAATTTCCTAAGTAAAATCAGGATACCAATAACATAAGTCAAAAGAATATAATGGACCTTGGTGTTCTGCATCAAGCGAAGCTGCGGCATAATTGCAACTGTTTCCAAATAGCATCCAAAGGCCAAGATGAGACGGTTGATCAATGCATCAGATGACTTTGGATGAACAACGAGTGTCATAACAGCACATGCAATCACCTGAAGAATCAAATTGTTCTTTTGAAAACTATATATGATAAAACTAAAATTCCTTCGCTACAAGGACTTGGCGTTCACAAGATATGAAAAAATAAAAAATTAAAATAGATGATAAGACCTCTGTCAGTTTGTACATGGAAAATAAATCAGAATAACAAAAAGCCATACAATTAAATTAAAAGAAACCTCTTCTATCAAATATGAGATTTGCAGGAGTGGCGTCTGCAAAAGTAATCCAGCATGAAGTAAAGCATCATAAAACAAATTCACCAAACTTGCAGAGAGAAGTGAAACTCAAAATGAATGTAGCCCTGTTGCCCAAAACTTCAAATTTTCAGGCAAACGCAGACAAATGCTAGGATGATAGAAACGAACAGAAACATGAAAGGCAAAAAAATTTATAAAAAAAAGTTCATTTCCAAGATAATGAAATATGAAAAATAAAGAGGGGGAAAGAAAAAGTTAAAACACACATCTCCAAACTGCAAATCAATAAATTTGACAAACCAACGAAAGTTTATTTATTCATTTTCTTCATTAACTAAACTCAAGGATATATGAATAGCAGCAGACCGGTAAAAAATTTTCATTTGCCTAGTCTATGGTGATAAATTATATGATTCTACAGAGGACTCCTCAAATTCAAGAATCTTATAGCTACTTGCCTAAATTAAAAAAAAAAGAGAGAGAATGTACAAATGTCATATCAAAAGTGGTAAAAAAACATAAAAAGCATGTATGCATTCTTTTGAGAACATAACATAATGTAAAATGTAAGAGCTACCAGATAATGCGTTGGAAAGTTGTCCTCATGCACCATGTAACTTGATTTCAAGAAAACACGCATCATATAGACAACCCACAAAGTTGTTATCAATGTGGCCGCAATGAGTATTGTATGTACATCAAAGTTCGTGTAACTATAATAAATTTTGAGCACCAAAAACAATGCCATCAACTCCTGAGATTTCAGAGAAAGCCCTGCAAAATAATCAGGAAAAAATGAGCAGTGAGTAACAAAGAGCCAGATATCACGCAGGAAACTACCCATTTTATTGACAGAACAGAAGAGAAACATCAGTAAAACGACATCACTAAAATAAAACAGCAATAAACGTTGGCTGTACACCAGTTACAGAATATGAAGGAAAAAATTTAAAGTTGCACAATAAGGTTATACTGCATGCTTCATTAACTATATGTTGAAGATGAACTAAAGTATGGACCAGACACAAGGCAGATAACTCCAGCAATTCTTCAATAGCATATTCTTCTATATCAGAATTGGGTAAAGTTCATACAAGAGCTAAATCCAGTAGCTTTTACAAGCAAGATGCGTGCTTCATTAACTATATGTTCAAGCATATGAATTTAAGCATGGACCAGACGCAAAGCAGATAACTTCAGCAATTCTTGGATGGCATATTCTTCTATATCAGAATTCGGTAAAGTTAATGACAAGAGCTACAACCAGTATCCTTTACAAGAAAGAATGCAACTCACCACCCAAAACTTTTTTTTTCTTGTATTTAAAACGGGTAGGGACTGATTATGAGGAAGCTTAAAAACAGGCTCAATTGAAAAAAGTATGTTAATGCCCGTAAGTGAACCGGTCCCTCCTGGACCGATCGAGAGGCACCCAACCCACAACAGTAGGTAGGATAGTCTTTTCCGCGATAAGGAGCGGAGCGGCAAATTGCTGCACCTTTAGAAAGCAAGGCGCAGGTGGGGTCCACGAGACTCTTAATCATATACTCAAGGATAATAAATTAAAGTTTGGAGGGAAAGTTTGAAATGTCGTGGGAGGATTTTTATTAAGGGGAATAACCTAGGGTTTGTTCTTTTTTATACATGTTTTGTTGGCTGATGTGCTCTTTTTCTTCTTGTTGTGTTCGAAGCGACGTCAAGAGTTGTGGGAGGGACGATATACCTCTCGAAAAGTAGATCATCATTTTATCTTGCTTGTTTTCATTTTTTTTTTTCGAAAGAGCAACCCTCATTTGATTTTTTTTCATCTATCTATTATCATTTCGTCGTTGTTGCTCGCTGATTTTGGTTCCGGAGCGCAACAGAGTATTTGCTTTCTTCAGTTATGGAATATTATAACTGAAGAGAGACAATCAATAATTTATCCACTTGAGATTCTAAATCGCATTTTCAGCAAAACATAAGATTTGCACAAATAACCAACCAACCAAAAAAAATGCTGAAAACTGCGATCTTAAGAATTATATGATTGAGATACAAATATGGTATCCTTTATCTCCGTCAGGAAGCAGGTGTGATCGAGTTGATATTTTAAATTTTTATGCCTAACCCAAGAACAAAATGATATTTCTATTAGGATAGGTGATTTAAAACATGTATTGGTTGAGGAAGAATAACAGAGTAAGAATATGAACTTATGAAGCTAAAGTAATTTAAAAAAAAAATTCCAATGAGTTAGCAATTAAAGGAAATCAACAGGGTTTAAACAATGTCAAGCAAAGAGCCAAATCCAACTAAGAATCAAGAACCAGGAGATGCAATCACAAATAACAGCAGACGGTTGCTTATAAAT